AACTCCTGAGCTCAAACAATCCGCCCGCCTCGGCCTCCCAGAGTGCTAGGATTACAGGCGTGAGCCACCGCGCCCGGCCTATAACATTTTTTGAAGCTAGTATCGGTATCTTTCATGAGCTTTAAGTTTTAAGCTATTAGTTCTTCAAATATTGCCTATGATCCTTTTCTCTTTCCCTGTTTAGACTTTAGATTTTCTCATTCTATGCCTCATGTCTCTTCAACCTTTTTCTCTTTCTCTCTGAGTTGCAGTCTGAATATTTTCTCTGATCCACTTTCCAATTTACTAATTATCTCTTAAGATGTTAAACCTGCCCAGTTAGTACTTGATTTCTATAGTATCTTTTTATTTTTAGAAGCTGTATTTAATTTTTTTCAAGTTGACTTGTTCTTTTATCATTTTCAACACTTTCATATCTTAAACTATATTAATCACATTTTAAATATTTGCTCTCATTGTCAATATGGAAATTATTTCAGTTCTAAGATAAAGGTGAATTCTTCCAGAAAGAACCTGTGTTTGTTTTGATCAAATATGTAAGGATGCTACCAGTCCAGCACCACATCAAACCAAATGTTCACCTTGAGGTTTTTCAGAACATCCAAGTAGTATGAATGCAGGTTGCGAACAGAAGGGGCCAATTTGTTTATGCTGATGAATTCTCTAGAAAAGTGTTTTATTTTTTCTTTTCCACTTGTTGCCAAGGTCCAAGAGATGCAAATTTTTAGCAGTCCCCAGAAGCAGCCAGAGTTGAGATGGAGGTAGCTGGTTTATTTCTTTGTTCACTTTACACTAAATTTTAGCCCATTGTGGGGTGGGGGATGGTGGGGTGGGGTCCTAGCTATCAGATTCCCCATGTTGGTTAGAGCTCCGGGTTTTGTCTCCTACCCTTAAATCCCTCAAGAGATTGAAAATTGATACTCAGGTTAAATTAGTTTGGCAAACGTTCTCAAGGCAAAAATCTGCCTTTAGTGTTCTTTATCTCGATGGGTTCCCATTTCCACTTAAAATCCTTACTTTCTTGCAAGGTCAGTAAGATAGATATCTGAAATAACATTTTAGTGATCTCAGCTGGAGTTTCCTATGGTTGATCTGTCTAGTTCATCTTTGTATAATCCCCAGTGCACTGTGCTTAGTGGTGTGTTGGAGTCAGCTTGTACTGGGGGTCACAAAAACCAGGTCTCCCAAACATTGTATTCAATGACTTCATACAGGCAGTGGGAAATCAGCCATGATGAGTATTTACACCAAGGAAACTGGCAAAAGCTACAAATCAAGGACCCCCACACCTCCTCCCCAGAGAGCTGGTTGTTCAACATTTAATAGCACAACATTGTGTCTCACACACAGTAAGTATCCAAATATCTGACTGAACTACGTAGTCTTCTGGTCATCATCCTATTTCTTAATTCTATACTCACTGGTAAGCTTCTCATCTCCAAACCAATTCTATGTTATCATAGCATTTAACGGGTATGATTTCTATGCCATAATGCAGGACACATAAACACACTTAGCACCAACAGAATATAGTAGCCCTCCCATCTAAAGTCACTTTCTGGTACAGTATTATTATATCTATTATTAGGCTCACAAGGAAACATTCATGAAGATGCCAAACACTATTCCCCAATTAGCTGTATGATATTCAATAAAAGCACTAATTTGGCTTTCTTAAATTAGTGAAGAATTTATTACTGTTTCTTAACTAAGCCCAAAGACAAACTGCTCTAAAGAATTCAGTTCTAGTTCTGATATGAATTACTACTGTGACCTGGAAAAAATCCATTATTTATTGTTTTTTCTTTAATTTTTATTTTTTTAGAGATGAAATATATTGCTATATTGCCAGGCTAGAGTGCAGTGGTTAATCTCAGGTGTGATCATGGCTCAAGTGATCCTCCTGCATCAGCCCCTGGAGTAGCTGCGACTACAGGCAGGCACCACCGCACCACCCAGCTCTCCATTATTTGTTTTGAGCTTAAGGTTTCTCATCTATAAAGTGAGAGAGGATGAACCTGAAAGTCACCATGATTCCAGAATACACTATTTACAAATACTGGCTAAGATCAAGTCTAGTGCATTGCCAGTAAAATGTACCCTGAGGGTCAAAATCAAGTCAAGGATGTTGCTTTGTTAAGACCTGAGAAACATTTAAAGTACTGCTCTCCTAGATCCCTTTAGCTAGACAAAAGGGCTTCTAAAACTCTTAACAGCATTTATTCTACCCTATCTCACTCTGGTGGATGAGGATAATAACCCCCAAAGTTAACCCCAACTGAGCCCCTGGCCAATGCCAGGTGACTTGCCCAATGGCAACCAGCACGAACTGCTAGCTATGTAAGGGAGGTATTTTGGAGCTGCGATCAACCCAGTGCAACTAGCTAATATTGCAACTAGCTAACATCACTTGGAGAAATCCACAGACAAAAGAGAACTAATACACTGTTATTTAAACCCACTAAACTTTTGGATTGTTTGTTATGTAGCAATAAACAACTGAAAAATTTATATTGCCAAACTATCCTCCAAAGTGCTATAGGCTGAATTGTGTTCCCCCCAAATCTGTATATTAAAGTCCTAACCCTCAGTATCTCAGAATGTGACCTTATTTGGAGACAGGGTATTTACAGAGATAATCAAGTTAAAGTGAGGCCATTGTGGTGGGCCCTAATCCAATATGACTGGTATCCTTATAACAACGGGGAAATTTGGACACAGTCACACATAGATGTGAAGAGACAGAGGGAGAAGACAGCCATTTACAAGGCACGAAGAAAGGCCTGGAATGGACCCTTCACTCAGTCGTTAGAAGAAACCAACCCAGCTAATGCCTTGAATTTGGACTTCCAGCCTCCAGAATTATGAGACAATAAATTTCAGCCTGATGCAGTGGCTCATGCCTGTAATCCCAGCACTTTGGGAGGCCAAAGAGGAGGACTGCTTGAGACCAGGAGTTCAAGACTAGCCTGAGCAACATACCAAGATCCCGTCTCTGCAAAACATAAAAAAATTGGCTGGGCGTGGTGGCATGTGCCTACAGTCCCAGCTACTCAGGAGGCTCAGGCAGGAGGATCACTTTAATCCAGGAGTTTGAGGTTCTGGTGAGCTATGATGATGACACTGCACTTTAGCCTGCGCAGCAGAGTGAGACCCAGTCAAAAAAAAAAAAAAAAATTCTATTAAGCCACTCAGTCTGTGATACTGTGTAATGGCAGCCCTAGCAAACTAATACAAAAAGTTACATCAAATTATACTTCCACCAAAATTATCTGAGAGTACTCTTTTTCCAATACTATCCTCGATAACAGATACCGTTTTGAGTCTTAGACAATTTCATAGCCCACAAACACATCTCATTTTAATTTGCATTTTGGCCTACTCATTCATATATTTTGCCTAATTTTAGGTTGCTTATTGATTTGCAAGATTTACATTGGTTTTGACAGGGCTACTTAGTCATCTTATACATGTATCATCAAAAGGAATGATTTCTATATATGGCGCTAATATATTAAATTTTTAAAATACATGTTAGAATTGGAGCCTATAAATTAAAAATGAAATCAAATACATACCTCTTTTCTATAATGATTGGCTGCATCCAGATTATCCAAAATAATTGTGTCTCCTAACAGCATACCAAATACTTAAAAAAAAAAAAAAAAAGATTTTGAAAGTTGTATTTTCTTTGGTTGTATTAAAATTTAACACACACTGCAAATCTTTCTTTGATAAATAATGCTAACACTACAATTTTATTCAACCTTCCTCTAATAGAAAAAAATGGAATATTAATAAAAATATCACTTATAAGCTACAATAAAACATTAACTTTCATAATCAGTAATTTATAGATCTGTATCACAAATGCAACACCTGTACAAAATAAAGCCATCATAACATCTGTTTACCTGTTTCACAATGTTCTATATTATCTGGAAATGTTAACAAATCTCGAGCGAAGACTGGATCTCCAATGGGCTTAAAATACAATTTTCCATTTCGGAAATGAGGTAGAGGTCTAAATGAAACGAAATTTTAAAAAGGTATTAAACGAAGCACATATAACCTTTTAATTTTAAAAAATATGAAAAACATATGAATATACTCTATATCATTCTGATCATATAATCAACTCCCAAATTCACAAGTGCTACTCCTAAATGATTAGCTATTATGCTCTTAGAAACAAAAATATTTACCATATAAAAATATCTGCTTGATTTTATCTTACTGCTACCTTCAATTAGTTTGTAATAACAGTATAAGCCATCTGTAGTTTAGTTTGACAAGGAAAGGAGAAAAGCAGCCTCTAACGCTGGTCCTAGACGAGGATGCCAATGATATGTTCATGTGTTCATTTTTTCTAACCTTTTCCAATCTGGAAGAGTCTTCTTATAAATAGAATCAAGGGGCAACACTTGCTGACGACCTTGGGTTTCATCGTAGATACGACGTGCAGCATCAGTGGTCAGGGTGACTACACAGTCCATGTCACTTGCCAGATGCCAGGAAATAACCATTGCAGCTCTGTCATCTTCGATTTGTGCTAGATGTGCAATCTATAATACATTTTAATAAAATTAAGTAAAAAATTTAAAAATATATATATAAAAATTTGATAAATACTTTAAAAGCCCAAGTCTAAATAACAAAAACACTTTTCTGAAACACTAACATGAATTACAAATAAATTCTCAAGTTGTGAAAACTTATTGACTTGAATATATTAAATTGTCTATTAGGCTGTTACATATTGAAAAAATTTTCCAGATTAAATTCCAGTAAATGTGTAAATAGGCAAGTAAAAATATTAGGAATTTTATCAGCTAACTGAAGATATGTTTTTTTCACATTTTAGTATCTCTATAAAAACGGGACGTGTCTTATTAGTAAAATAACCATAAAATATATTTAAATAATTATACATAAAATCATTGCAGTTTTAAGATTCAATTAAACGTAAAATATAGTTATAGTTAATGTACCCCTCCCTTCTAAGTAGATATTTTACTTCAGTATTATAGTATTTCTTTCAGAAAACAAATCTAAATGTCACAAATGAGAATTGTTTCTTCTGTTTCTGCTTATAGGAACATTTCTTTGGAGCTTAGGATAAATAATTACACTCCTATTTACAAATTCTTGCTTCAGTCACAAACACTCCTGCTTAAAGTCCACTAAGGTTGGAATACTGCGGCCAGTATCAAAATTCCACTCATCATGCTCGTATGGTCATATCTACCCTTTATTCTTACCTGGTCTGGTAGCGCAAACCTACCTTAGCAATAAGACATGTAAGTGAAGATGAAAAAAATGTTCTAGTCAATGTAGAAAGAATTACTAGAGGAAAATCAAATGTAAGCAGAAGAAATAGTTCTTATTTGTGATATTTAGATATGTTTTCTGAAAGAAATACTATAATATTGAGGTAAATCTATTTAGAAGGACATATTAATGATATTTATGTCTAACTGAATAAAAAAATCTTAAAACTGCTGCAAATTCCTCCTCATTTAGGGATGGGGATTTCCAGATATTTTGGAACTGAGGAGGAAAAGACTAAAATATCCAAGTTAATTGAGATATTCATGATGTTAAAACTAAATACATTGTAAGGTTTGGGGGGAAAATCTCCCCTTGTTCCTATTATAGTTCCATGATTACTTATTCTAGTTTTAGGATAAATGACTGGAAGAATTTTTTATAAAGGAAGCAAGGGAGAAGATTAAGGATGATTTGGAGGGACTGGAAAGTTTTCTCTTACTGGTCAAGATAGAATCTGTACTTCTCAAGAGACAGGAGAAACTATACAAAATGAAATTTCAAAGATTTCCCCAGATTTTCAAGATATGTAATGAGACATATTTGAACAAGAGACTTAAAAATATTTCTCTTGCTAAAATTTATTTTATACATTGGTAAAAATCTTACATATTGTGTAAGAATTTTGTATTGGATGGATCATTAAAATGTGGAAACCAGACTATCTATAGTTATCTACATGCTTAGACTCATAGGACTTCTTTTTTCTAAAAATTGGTTCTGAGGAATAACAATTTAAAACAATATATATTAACATACTGTTTTCTAACTTATGAATTTACACCCTTAATTTTTCAATTTGCAGATCTGGGGTTTGGGTAATAATATGATATGGTTTTGGTAGTAAACACTGTTACACATCACCTCCTATTTTCAGTGTGCAGTTCAGTATATAAAAACAACTACCATGGGCTTTGGAGTCATAGAGACCTTGATTTGCATTTAAGCTCTGCCTCTAACTATATCTTAGCAAATTATTGAAGTTCCAGCAACTTCAATTTCCTCACATAAAAATGAGAAATACTACAAAGAGTTCATACAGTGGATATGAAAGTAGAATGATGTATTAATACATAAACAATAAGTACAGACTATGGAGTCAGACTGTCTGGGGTTTGAGTCCTGGCTTTGCCACTTGCTAGCTGTGTAAGCTTGAGCAAGTTATTTAATCTCTGTACCTCAGTTTCAGTTTAACTTTAAAATGGGGGTAAAAGCAATTAAGATGAGACGCATATTAAATGGAAAAGTTAACAGGTGAAACATACACATATACCACAAACCTTAACAGGATTAAAAACCGAAGATGCTACAGAAAAAATGCAGATGATAAAATATGTACAGAGAAGAAGTGAAACTTAGCTAAAGAACTTACTAATAATTGCAAATATTAACAGAATTTGACCCAGAAAAAATATAAAATAGAATGTTCACCATTGAATAATGGCAGGACAGAATGAAAATATAACTCATTTAACATAAGTAAAAACAAACAGGGCAAGGACAGCAGCAATAGAGAAAGAAGAATGGCATTCTCCCTCAGCAGCAAATACGTGTAATAAGTTTTTTGTTTGTTGTTGCTTTTTCTTAAAGTTCTAGAGGCATTCCACAATTCATTCTCTAACATTAGACTCAGAACCCAGAAGAATGCTGATATTTTTCTCTCTTCTGTTGTCTCCCTTCAGTCACCTATAATGGTGCTGGCTCCCTATAAAGCTGTATGACATGGAAGCATCTCTAAGTAGACAACGAGCCTTGAACTAAGACATGTTAACAACTTCTGCCATAGCCTTCAATAGCAGTATTATAAATTTCAGTTTTAAACTCTGCCAAATCCCGATTATGGTCATAAGAGCAGGTAATTTATTGGAAAAAAATTACAAAGGAGCTGACACTCTTATGTCACATTTGGACAACACATTTTAAACAAAATAAAACAAGATAATAAAGTACACTGCCTGTTAAAAGGCTTAAACACAAACCTTTCCCAAAATATCTCCAGTGCCTTTAGTATAGTTTGGAAGAGTACATGATCTTCTAGGTTTTTTCTTTAGTTCATCCTGTTCTGATAGCTTTCTTTTCAAAAGTGCTTCAATGTGTGGCATCTGTAATTTATAAACAAAAATTACCTACAAGGCCAATTACTCTTGTACCAGGAAGCCCATAATGACATCAGACAAAAATCAGCAATTTGGATAACTCAAGAACATGATATAAATAAGCATCACTTAAAAAAACTATGGTTACAGTAATATAGAGCTCTCACTTCAATGATCTCTTTTAATCTTAGTTAAGAAATACACTACCTATAATAGGACTTCTTTTTGAAACTGAATTACACATATAGAAGAATGCAGGTTTAGAAAAAAAATCTACATTGCTTTTTATTACTTTCTCTTATTTTGTTTACCATCATGTATATTGGTTATGCAGCCTCAATTGAATACTTCAGCTGCTGTATCATAACTACATTTGTTGGTGTTATTACATTAAAAATACAAACTGCAATTTATTTGAAAAGAGAACTCATCATTTTGCCCTTTAAATGTCTAGTAAGTGACTACACTATAATACATGTCTTTCTATCCCTAAAACAACAGTGCCCACAGAATTCCTAATAAAACATGAATGATAAAAAAATTGTACAAGAGAATTCAATAAAAAAA